CCCCAACCAAATTCTATTTTTGAAATACTCACCTACTATTGTATTACTTTTTATTTATTTATTTTTCTTTTTTAACCAATACACAAATATATATATATATACACACACCTGGGTATGTATGTATATACTCTACTTTTTGAAATTTGGATAGCTTCTCTCAAACAACTACCCAATAATCTTTTTTGGGTTTTCACAGTCATTGTTAATATAGAGGTTTGTTGGATTATTATCCATATTTGTAGTCATTTTTTAATAAGACAGATTGGATTGTTATCCAAAAGAGAAAAAAAAATCCATCTGTCAATTTGTCAATTTGTTCAATCCGAATCTGTTAATTCAGCAGACGATTGCGGATTAATTTTCTCTAATCCGCCTAGTTTTGGACGGATGGCAGATTGGAGGTTCCCAAACCGCAATCAAACCACAAGCAACCCTACCCGGCGAATCAGGACATTTTGCCATCCCTAACCACCACTTCTACATTATCGCCCACTCGTTCTCTTTCTTTCTCTCTCTCACTCGTTCTCTTTCTCTCTCGCCATTCGAAATCAAGATCGCATTATGATCAAAGAAAGCAAAGGCAGTGGCAGCGCGGTAGCTAGGGTTTGCAATTGCAAAGAGCAGTGGCAGCTAAGGTTTCATGAAGAAAGCTACAGAATGGCTATGGAAGGAGGGTGGCAGAGTTATGAATCACAGGTGGGGAGCGATAGAGTTGCAAATCACAAGTGAAATGTGGTATTGGGGTGATGGGAAAGGTGGGCTACGACGGTTGGAGGTGATGGCAATGGCTGGTAGGATTAAGGTTAAAAAGTTAGAAATAAAGGTAAAAATGGAATAAAAAGTTAAAGATAAAGATAAAAATGGAACTTCATATTTAGACAAAATTGGAATTAAAAAAAAAAAAAAAAGAGATGGGCAGTTCTAAGAAAAATAGTATGGGTAAAAGCACAACTACTCTTTGAAAATAGTGTTTAGAAATTTAAAAAATCAAAACTTGTTTGGTTATAAATTTTCAAAACTAGTTTTTAAGTTTTTTGGGTTTTCTATTTTTTTGTCCTGTAGTCAAATTTTTTTTTGCATTGTAGTCAAAAAAAATTTTGCAATATTATTGTTAAATTTGTTTACTTATTTCATATACCTAATCTAAATATACTTTTTAGATACATCTATCTAATCTATAGGGTAAAGTTTCACTCTGTATTTTTTATTTTTTATGAACGTTTTTAAAATGTTTAACACTTCTTTTTTAGTTTTATATCCACTCAATCTACACACATTTATGGAAAAAATTTATAAAATTACTAAATAATGAGACATATAAAAAAGAAAAAAAAATTGACTGAGTTTAAAAGTTAATACAATTTTAATATTTTATGTATTTATTAAAATTTATTTTTGATTTCTTCACATTTTGCTTACTGTTTATATATATTTAAATCATATACATCAAAAACACATATATATATATATATATATATTTGGCCAATATTTGAAAACCAAACAATTTTGTGAAAATTTGAAACCAAACAAGTTTTGCGTTTTTGATTTTGGATTCAAATTGAGGCTTTCAAATGTATTTTATGAAAACCCAAAACCAAACAGGTTTTGGATTTTGAATTTTGAAAATTTGATTTTAAAACTCAATCAAACGCACCCTGAGTTTTTTTGTTTTCTGTGTGTTTTTTTTTTATAGTAAATCTTTTAATATTTTATGCAAATGTTTTTTATTTTTTAGATACACCTAATCTAAATGCGCTTAAAAGGTACAATGTTTGTGAAAAAAACTTTATAAATCCAACAAATACAAAAAATATAAAAAAAATGTAATAAATTTTTCCTTTTTTTTTTTTTTTTGGTATTCAATGAATTTTTTAAGGATTTTTGTACAATTTTTTTTACTTTTTAAGTATATTAAGATTAAGTAGATCTAAAAATTATTATAATAAAAAAATTGATCAAAATAGTTTAAAAAATCTTTAAAAATACGAATTGAAAACATAAAAAATTATTTTTGAACACTCAAAATTAAACAGGATATATTTTCATAATTTAATCAATATATATATATATATATTTTATTTGTCTCTTTATTTTTATTTTTTTTCTCCACGAACCCAAACACAAACTCGAACATAAACGTCTAAGTATCTCTAATTTCCTCCATTAAGAAACTAACCCAATTGAGTACTCAACAACACTCAAGATAGTAAGTGATTGGGTATTAAGGCTTTCAAAAACAATTATCGGAAGAAAAATTTCAATTTTAACAAATAAAACTTTCTCTAACATTTCAATTTTAAATAGTATTGAATTTTTGAAATCTTTAACGCTTACAATTGAACTAAAAAAAAGAATCAGGAATTTATTTTCGGCTTTATCACATAATTCTTGTGCTTTATATTCAAGAGTAGTCTTTGCCTACCATCTTTTTGTCTGGGGAGTGTTTGGCTTGCCCTATTTTGATTTGCTTTGCCTTGTGTATGCTTATATATTTTTTTCTTTTCTCGTTGGCTGTTGACTTTGCATTTGACTGGCTTTGTTTCATGTTTCAACTTAGCTGAGATGTGGTCTTAAGTTATGATACTTTTTGTCTTGGCCTTTTGGGCATGTTTGTTTGACTGACTTATTGAGGGGATTGGATTGCTAGTGAGGCCACCCCATCTATGGCTTGTTTGGTAAGCCTTATACTCTACTGGACTATTGGTCCAACGAGACTATCAATGATGTACGACAGTGGGCTTAGCTTTTCCTGAGAAAACATGAGATTGGAAAAATAGTAAGGGAATTGAAAAATAAGTGTATATATATATATATATATATATTACCCAAGTACGACCTATTATTTGTTAAAAAAAATATTTTTGTTTTAGAATTTTTTTAATATAGAAATACATATTTTTTTATTTTATATAGAATTAATTTAACAATTCTATCACTAACCATCTCTCCCATTACTATAAAAATAAACACACTTTTACTTACCAATTCCCTCACTAACAATCCCCACATTAACAATCTCTTCACTAACTATCCGATCACTAACAATCTCATCCAACTTAATCCGCCAAACAAACGTGACCTTTGTATTTTGTTGATGTAATTTGTTTATACATCTTTTTATATTTTTACATCAATGAATCTCTATTTTGCCGATAATAATAATAATAAACCAACTCAAAATATAAAGACAGTTACAAAAGGCTCTTAAGTGTTTTGCCGATAATAATAATAGTAAACCAACTCAAAAAATAAAGACAGTTACACAAGGCTCTTAAGTGTTATGCACACATTACTTTACACTCCGTTTGCTTTGAAAATATTTTTCGCAAAAAACGTTTTCTTATGCTTGGTTGCATTTGCCCAAACAAACGGAGTATTAGTAATTCAAGTGGTTAAGAAACAAACAACAAATCAAATTTATTGATGTTTCTATTCACTAACTTTTCAAAAAAAAAAAAATGAAAGCAGAAAATAAAAAATAAATACACAACAAAACAGTCTAATTTTCTAATTTTTCTAACTATGTGCAACCCCTCGACCCTTGACATATTGCAAAACTCATAATATCACAAAACTTTGTCCACAAAAAATAAAAATAAAAACAAGTGTATATCTATTGTTTTTGAATTTTTTTAATATATAAATATATATTTTTTATTTTATATAAAAATAATTTAACAATCCTATCACTAACAATTTCTCTCACTATCACCAAAACAAACATATTTTTACTTAATTCCCTCACTAACAATCCCCACACTAACAATCTCTTCACTAACCATCTCCTCACTAAAAATCTCATCCAACCTAATCTGCCAAACAAACATGACCTTTGTATTTTCTTGATGCAATTTGTTTATACATCTTTTCTTTTTTCACATCAATGAATCTTTATTTTGCCAATAATAATAAAACCAACTTAAAAAATAAAGATAGTTACACAAGGCTTAGGTGTTATGCACACATTACTTTATGCTCCGTTTGCTTTGCTAAAAAATATTTTATGGAAAAAAGTTTTTCGCAAAAATATTTTTTATAGAAATCTTTTTTCAGAATATATTTTTCGCAGAAAACATTTTCTTATGTTTGGTTGCATTCTTAAAATTAATGTACTAATGATTATATTAGTGGTGGCGATAAGCGGAGGTGTTGGGGGTGGTGGTGGCGGTAGTGGTGTGGCAGCGGCGGCGACAATAGTGATGTTATGATAGTGGTAGTAGTAATGATGTAGAGATGATAGCGACAGTGGTTGTGGGGCTGTGGAGAAAATGGTGGAAGTGATGAAGTGGTGGAAATGGTGGTTGTGGTCACGGTAGTGGTGGAAATGATGGTAGTGGTGATAATGTGGTGCCACTGATAATTGTTTAGAAAATATTTTTTTCCTTTTAAAAGTGAAAAATATTTTCTGCTCAAATAGTCTGTCTTGTCATTGACTATGAAAAGTATTTTCCGTTAACTAACTTTTATTTTTGGTAATACTAAATGACAGAAAATACATAAAATATTTGTTAAGAAATATTTTTTGTCCAAACAAATGGAGTATTAGTAATTCAAGTGGTGAAGAAACAAACAACAAATCAAATTTATTGATGTTTCTATTCACTAACTTTTCAAAAAAAAAAAAAATTGAAAGCAGAAAATAAAAAATAAATACCCAACAAAACAGTCTAATTTTCTAATTTTTCTAACTACGCGCAACCCCTCGACCCTTGACATATTGCAAAACTCATAATATCACTAAACTTTGTCCACTAAAAATAATAAATAAATTTAACAACTTTCACTTCAATTGTTTTTCTTCTTCTTACATTCCATAAGGTGAAGTTTCCAGCACCGATCCTTTAAAAGAAGGGCTTATTAATTTTTCCAAAATCATAATAACTTGGAAAATTTCACAATGCTAAAAAACCAACTTGGCTACACAAGTTTTGACTACACACAAGTTGCTACTTTGAAGCTGATAAAATAAAATATATATTATTCAAAAAATAATTTACAAGTGTTCAAAACTAAAAGCGCATACTTTGTGTTCATTAATGGCATAGTGTTTCTTTGCACATCATCTTCATACAACCTCAAACCTCAAAACAAGACTAACTTTCCTATACATAAATCTCAAGGGTAACTGATCAACCCAGGGGATCTTAATTTCAAGAGAGTACATAAAACTACTAATTCAGGTTTTGAAGTATGAGAAGTCGGCGATTAAAATGCCTACGAGAATACTATAATTTACAAACTATATAGCTTTTTGGTTTGCGTAGAACACCTACAACTGGATCAGCAAGTCACTGGTCTAAGCAGATGATTTCACCGGACCATCCTTTGGTTTCCAGATAATATGCTCAAGTTTAGCGCAGAAGTTCTTGTAGAACTGCAGAGAAAGAACACGAGTGTGTATCAATATATATATATATATGTTGGTGGCACTAGGGTATCCGGATCAAAGTCCAATTAATCCCCCAAGTGTGCACAGGCCCTCGGTAAGGAATTTCAAGCAACGAGTGTATCAATATTTGATTAGCACAACAGCAGTCATGCGTGTCTGATGGAAGTATGAAACCAGAAAGGAAAGAAACAATGCCTTCTTTATGACTTACTATAGCAGACACATCCTTTTTTCCCATCAAAATTTACAAGGAGAGCCCATTAGCTTGCACAAATAGCTCTATTAGTGAAGACATCCATGCATAATATTAATTCTGGTCATCACATTGAAGCACATCTGGTTGAGGAATAACATTCCATGTAGCAAATGTCACTAAAACAAGATGTGGAACTTTTCCTTTTAGTTTTGATGGGAAATGTTAGAATAATAGATATAGCACTAATGGGAAACAAGTAGGCTGAGAAATATTAGTTTGTTCAAAGACCACCAACTGGATGGTAGGCTAGGCAGCTAACAAATACAGTAACATTTCCATGAAGCAAATGTCAGTCAAACAAGATGTAAAACTTTTCCTTCTAGTTTTGGTGGGAAATGTTAGAATAATAGATATGGCACTAATAGGAGACACTTTCTTTAAACAGTAGGGTAAGAAAATATTATTTTGAGCAAAAACCACCAATGACTACATTGTTAAAGGACTGATGCACTCGATATCAAGAATCAGCATAATGGTTGCGACCTCGTCAAGAGAGACATCATGGCCTACAGTTTGACAAAGCTATAGTTCTGAAAGAGCCATCATAACAAAAGAGCGGGCTTGCAAGGAAATGCCAAATCATTAAAATATCATTTTTGTTAAGTTAAAATTTTCTAATTGAACTTTTATGGTTTGATATAAGTAGATGTATGCATTGGTAGCAGTATGGGTTTTTATTCAACAAAAGTTAATCAAGACAGATGCAAATCAACAAGCTAGCACAAACTAACCTTGTGATATTCATTAGTATCCCCAGTAGCCTTGCGAACATCCACCATGAAAAGGAATGGGGCCACTTCAAAAACCTAAAGACAAGTTACAAAAATCTTTCAGACATAACGTGGAGCCATGGCCTGTCTATCGACAATAACAGAAGCACTAATCAAGAAATTAAACTAAAATAATTACCTCCAAGACAACAGCAAATTGTCCCGTCTTATTCACAGACATTCCTTCAAGTCTTGTCTGCAGAAACCAATCACTGGAAGGAATTAGAACAGAGACTAGAAACAAAGTCATACAACGCTTAGCACTTGGGATCGAGAAACATGTGACATATATATTTTTTGATTATTTTTTATTTTTTATTTTTTTATTTTTATTCACTTGAAACCTACTATAACACACTTGACCAATAGTCCCTAAGAAGACATCATTTTTTTTTTTTCCTTTTTTCTTTTTTAACCAAAGAACAGATATCATCTGAGTTAACTGTACATCTGGAAGGATGTCTTTCATATAACATGAGCAAATAATGGAATTAGAAGGGAAGGATAAGAAGCAGAAGAATAGAAGTGCAAGACCACAACAACCAGACCTAAATAATAATTATAATAATTAAAAAATAAAATAAAATAAAAAGAGACCATGTGACACATAAGAACTTCACAAAATAGGATCATTTTCTAAATATGGCACACAAAGACTCCATAAAAAATAGTCAAATACCAACACATAATCCTGTAGGCCAAAAAGAGGGAAAAACAACCTTGCTTCCTAATATAAACCATTCAGCAAACTCATCACCTCTAAATACCAGTTAGCCTCACACTATGAAAATGTTAAAAGCTTTAATCACCAAATAAATATCATCAACTCCAGGTTTTCTATATTTTTTAATTAGTTCTACAATATGGTCTACTCCAGGCTAATATTTTTATAATCTCTCAGAACATATGACAAGGCAACTCAAACCAACTATTTCAAGCAAAGTCAAACAGCAACCAAAAGGACTCGACATGGGTCTTCAATCAAAAGATAACATGAAGGAACAAGTGAACAGTAATGAACAGCCTCATGCCCAAAAACATAACAAAAAGACAACAACAAGGGCAACTTTATCCAAAAAGGGCTATTATTTCTAAACGAAAACTCTACAATTACATAGCAAAAATAGTTGCAACAGATGATCACATATCATCATTCGAATAAAGAATTTTAAGGGAAAGCATCCAAGTTCGATTAACTATAAAATATATTAGAAACTATACCTTGTAATTACGAGTATGGACCTTTAGACCCATTGATTCTGCAACAGCTTCAACTGCTGAAATTATAGCTTTAGCTGGTTGGCGGGAAATGAAACGAGTTTGTCTCTTTACATAATCCTACTAGAGATAATATAGTCGGTTGCCATCAGTTATTTAATAGACATGAGTTTAACAAACAAGTTCACTTCACGAGAAAAGCACAGGGAATAAACACTCCACTAGTAACATGCTATGAACTGGGATTCATACTTGTGATATAAAGTAAACATGTTTTATTTGCATGAAATATCTCTAGCATTCTAGTAGAAAATGCTCGGTACTTAGAAATATTAATTGCACTAGGAGAAGCCATAGCTGTCAATTCCAGTACGTAGAAAATGGAGGATGGAAAACTTCAATTAACTATTTCTCTGGCAGCAAATTGAAAGGAATTGTACCTGACGCCTGTCAAACAAGGCTGAAAGATTCAACCCTTGAGAGAGGGCAATCATCTCAAATGCATTCATTATTAAAGGCCCACTGTCATTATTTTCAGATTGTTCAGTTACATGCTGTTCCTGTAAATACCAGAAACTACCAAATGTTAACCCTAAAGACATTGAAGGGCATGGATAGGCAAGAGAAAAATATTGAAAGAGCAACAAGACATAGTTCCTTCAAATAGAAGTGCTGATATTTTATCGTGGTATTTGTTTTAAGAAACCTCCAAAAATCTAGCATTGTGACACTTCTAGCATGCAAAGTTAAAAGATTACAACCAAAAAAAAATGCCCAACCTCGATGTCATCAAAAACTGTATGTACATTGTCCAGATTCAAGTCTTCATCTCCTCCATGTTCGACAGCCACATAATTCTTTCGGAACCATGGGTCATTCTTAATCCCTTCAATCCTAATACGCTGCATTAAGACAGTGCAATTAAAAAAATTATTGAAGAAAAATATCAAAGGGATCTAAACGTATGGTTATGCCAAAGGTTTAGCACCTTACGTAGTAAAAATACAACCAAAAGTTATTATTTCCATTCCCACACAAAAACATGTGATTGACAGCCATGCACAAATTAAATGTTGAACCAACTAAAAAGATGCATCAAGACAGAAATGGGAAGAGACATTGACATCTCCTTGGACTTAGCGAGCACCTTAAAACCTTCTTTAATGAGATTCATTATATAGACCACTCATAGTCTTAACATGCACTGCTCAATGTAGAGATTGCATCAGTCGCCAGGTGTTACATGATATCAGATTAAGTTTTTTTTTTTTTGGGCTCATATAGATCACATGAAAGGGAGTTTGAAAAAACTTGCAATGGAAAATAAATTATTACAGAGTCCTTATAGATGGAAGATGTGATTAAGATTAGGTGTAAGAGTTAACTTCATAGGTTATCTACATTGGATAGCTTGATATACATTATTTGGCCCAGGTTGGGAGAGATCATGGGTTCAAGTTTCTCCTTCTGCATTTGTTTCTCATTTGCATGCTGCTTATCTATGATTGCCTACATCTCTAGGTGCAAGACAGAATTGTACTAGAGGGAGGGTGTTGGATAGCTTTATATACAATGTTAGACCCATTTCCTAATAACTAAAGTAAAAAGATATGTAGTGGGGCTGAACATGAAGTGGCACTGAACGTTAATAGTTCAAATAGGATTACAAGCCATGAGCATTTATGAAAAATTAAAGTTTTCTCTAAAACATAATAGTAGGTGGGATTTATAAATCAATGGCATTCTCATGAGGGTTGTAAGCATACGTATTGGCTCAACCCCAACCATGACTTGCAAGACTACAACTGTCCAAAAATATATCTTTTCTCCTAAGCCTGTTAATGTTAGTCTTAAATGATCTTCTTTGTCTATAGTAGTTGTTCAAAGAAATGTCTCATTATCAGTGTAAGTCTTGAAGCTTCTGAAACAACAGGTCAGTGTTGCTCAAATTTCATTTCTATACCCAAATCTAGGTCAGAGGAAATCATGGGATGGCAATCAATTTAAAATTATTCAATTATTGACCTTCATCCATAAATTGTGGAATATATCTTCCATGTGTACATAATATTTGAAATTACAAGAGAAATGAGCCAGTTTACATTACATACCACCTAAGAAACACAAATAGGGATACGGATACAAACACGGGCACAGGACACAATAATTTCCAAAAGCTCAGGACACGGCCCGATGGATACATCAAAAATATATTCTTTATATATTTTTGTTCTCTATGTACATGAACATTACACTGACATAAAACCCAAAATAACGAAAAACCTTACTAATTCAACTAAAAAATAATTAAAAAAATCTATAACTTAAACATCATTCAACACGTAAAATATTATTCTGTGAAGCATAAACCATTACATCACAAATGTCAAAATTATTTAATTAATAATGAATAGAACATCCATTACATATATATAATCACAAGTCCAATGTGGCCTAGGGCATCTGTGATGTGTCCCCAATGTCTAATAATAAGAAAAACAATAATAATAAGACACACCATGTGGTGTGTCCAACACGTGTCCTAATGCGTCCGAGGCGTGTTTGTGTCCAACACGTGTTAGACATGGCTATGGAAAATAATTTGAAGTGTCTATGCTTCATAGCATGCCACATTTAAAATAAAAAAAATATATTCCAACAGTTATGTTTATGGAAATTTAGAGTTCGACGTGTGAGCAGTTTATTTTCTTGACATTTTGACCAAAATATGTTACTTGGAACGTGGAACAGAAACGGTGGTACGTCACATGCTCTAAAATGGGGTACGATAGGGGTAGATTCGTATCTATTACACTTAAGAATTTAAGCTACTTCTAGAGTAAATTTTCTTTTAACTATTAGGCATCCAATAAAATGTATTTCTATTTCTTTTCATTTTTGATGTTTTTATCTTGTCAAAACTTAACTCACCCTAAATTTTAGTTCAATATATTGGAATTTTTTCCTTCTAAGGTAACATTTAAGGGAATATTGAAAAAAAAAATTGGGATCGCTTCGAATCACTAAATTTACTGTTTTGGAACGAAAGTGTACCAAGTTTCAGAACGTGCATACCAATACGTAATTCACTAGGGTATTAACGTTTTCTGGTAACACGCAACAACATATATGGTAAACTAGATGTGCTTTGTTTGATTGCATGGCCTAGTCAAATGCCCTTTATTTTGTTCTCTTTTTATTTATTATTATTTTTCATTTTGAATTATGAAGTTGAACTCAATTGACATAAAAACATGGGCTCGTGGAAAATCCATGGTTGCGTTTGGTAGAGTTTTCTAACTATGATTTGAGAATATGAGTTGTATTTTGTGTTTATGAGTTTTGGAATTATGATTTGAGTGTAGAAAATTTGTTTGGTGAATGAGTTTTGAAAAGAGTTTTGAATTGAGTGAGAAGTTTTTGATGTGACATATGACATTTGATACAAAAACTTACAACTCATAATCAAACACACAATTCAAAAATCTATGAAAAGCTTATAAATTTTTTTTAAAAATTCCAAAAATATTTTTTTATTAAAAATATATATAAAATAATAATAATAATAATAAATCGCACTGTTTAGGACGTCCAGTTAAGCCAAATTTTTTAAAAAAATTCCCGCCTGACACAGAGTGATTTTTGCAGAGTTTTCTGTTTAGTGTGGAAATATAATTTGAAAATCTTATCCAAGCATGGTATTAGAATGTGTGGATAGAATTATAATTTGAAAATACAACCAAACAGAGCCCATATTTTTCTTATGTTCCTAAGCACATTGGCCATCAACATAAATGGAAATGGCTCATATACTTTTGTGACCTTGAGGTCACAATCAAGTGTAACATCTCATTTGTGATTATTCCATATCTTTATCTATCCTAGACCATTGGAAATATCAGGCCATTAACAAACCAACTGGCACTGGATGCACTTTCAAAACAATGCAATGTATGTATGTCAGAATACATAATATAACAAGCCACACTGATTCCATATAGTTACATAAGCAATGATCTTCATACTCACGGTTTCAGGGTTGGGATCAAGTATCTTATGTATCAGTGACTTTGCACCAGCAGAAAACCAAACTGGACATAAAAATTCGGCAGCATTGATCTACACGTCAATCAAAGAAAATGTTAGAAATTCTCACACAATAGGCATGGCTTTCCAAATGCTCAGATGATATAAATGGGTCCAATAAGAAAGATTCCTTAATGTCTATAAATCTATAAAGTGCATAAAATAATGAACAGGCCCTTATTGCCGCCTGTGCCTATCCACATAAAGTGGACAAAGACACTGTTATCAGTGTATGACACTGACACAATGTGCATGCACCAGAGACTTCCCAGACACAGCAAAGAGATAAAATTATGGACATGGACATGGACATAGCACATATGTAACATTGTTTGTTATAAAAATAGTGTCTGACATGGTAAAAAAGTAATCATGAAATAGATGAATCTTAGAAGAAAATATATCGCCAATATAAGTTACTTGACAGTGAAAGATGTCTGACAAAACTTAGGCAATAAACACAATCAATTAAAAGAACAAGAGCAACTAACCTTTTTGTACAAGTCTGGAAGGTTTGTCTCATAAAATGGAAGATATCCTGCCATTAAAACATAAAGAATGACTCCACATGACCAGACATCTGCTGCAGCACCATCATAACCCCTCCGACTTAAAACCTATGGTATTGGTTGAGGAGAAAAAATTTAGATGGTGGACAAAAACATCCAGGGCCATGCTTCTTTACAAAATATTATTTTTGAATAAATAAATAGAGAAGGAGAAAAATGGTGAATTTAACTGGAAGAATTGAAACATTAGCTACCTAAAAAGCATGCTCAAGCCACAAAAGCCTCACAATCATCTGCATATTTACAGAAAAGCTAAAGGCTATGTTACACGGACTAGGGTGTAGGTATCAGGTGGGGGTGCGTATCTAGGGGTCAGATACCAAATTGGCTCTGCATTTGTTCATGTACGTAGAGAATAAAAATACATAGAGAATAAAAATCAAGGCACAAATCAGGAAGAACAAATGCAGATCCTACGCTCTGATACCAAATTGATGGAGCCAATTTAGGAAAGAGACTTCATTAGAGAGAGGTTCAAATTGGGATATAAGAGCTCTCAGGCTTTGAAATACTCCAATATCAAAATATCATAAAACTGAATACTAGAGGGGCCTAACCAACTATTTATAGCATAAAAGACAACTAACTCTTATGGTTACTAAAACATAACAACCATACTAATGCTAACTACATCAGATGGGCTCACTGCTACGATTGCAGTGGGAATAGAATAGTGATGGTCTTTAGGTTGTGGCAACATCAGCGGTGGAGGGTGGAAGTGGCTGCACTGGCAGCAGTGGTCTCAATTAGCTTTAGTAGAAATACTATGAGAATGGTTGTGCTTCAAGAAAGTATGAATTAAAGCTTAAGTCATCATTATAATGTTGTATTCAATTACAAGGCTCATGTGTTGCTTCTAAGATAACCAATACCTACTAGAACAATGAGAATTATGATAAGGATTTACCCCAGTTCCAGTTTCTACCTTTATAGAACAGTAATGATATGAATAATGTGTACAAAATCATCTTGGAAACATGCAAGGCTTCTGTTAGTTTGAACCTATTTACTTCATGAAGAAATTACATAAAAGTAGTATTATTATACACACAAACTAATATTGAAAAAAATTGTATTCAACATGAAGCCCAAGTCAAATGAAACCAAATATATAGCCATAGATAAAAGCAGAGCATGCAGCAGTGCATGTAACAATGGGCATACAAAAACATAAACAAAAAATTCATAATTGCACCTAGAGTACACCTAGGGCTTTATGTGATCATGGTTAGGTTAGTTTGCGTTTTATTTATAAGCATGTATAGATTCGATTGTTGTTGGATAGATTTAATGGATTTTTATCCAGTTTTAGTAGTTAGAGGTAATTTCGTAATTTGCTTCATAGTATATAGCCATAGATAAAAGCAGAGCATGCAGCGGTGCATGTAACAATGGGCATACGAAAACATAAACAAAAAATTCATAATTGCACCTAGAGTACACCTAGGGCTTTATGTGATCATGGTTAGGTTAGTTTGCGTTTTATTTATAAGCATGTATAGATTCGATTGTTGTTGGATAGATTTAATGGATTTTTATCCAGTTTTAGTAGTTAGAGGTAATTTCGTAATTTTGTTAAATGCTGAACTTGGGTTTAGGGTCTTCTTATGGGTTACAAACTATGTGATTGAGTCTTCAATAGAGTCTTTGTTAGGACTAGAATATTCTAGTTGGTTAAATTTTCTTTACTTTTAATTATGGTTTTTCTTTTCAATTGTAGTTGAGTTACGAGAATTTGAGATGGCATTTCTATGAATTTCCTATCCTTCTTCTTCTTCTTCTTCTTCTTCTTCTTCTTCTTCTTTGCATGGATACTCATGTGCTATCCTTGGGTTACTGTTTACAGCACTAAAAAGTGCATTTTTCAACCTTGAAACTGTTCCTGATCAAGTTGTAATCAAGCCTCAGACCTTCTCCTAACTATTGGCTTTCCATCCATTAAAATCCTAAATTACTCAATGTTTAGGACTTAAAATAGCCAGGTTTTTTTTAAAAAAAAAAAAAAAAAAAAATCCGATAAACTGCCACTTTTTAAAATCAAACTAAATCTTAAACCTATTTGTTAGGTTTTTATTCTTGGCAATCATGTTTGACAAAACTCCTTTCATGTGCTATCCTTGGGTTACTGTTTACAGCACTAGAAAGTGCATTTTTCAACCTTGAAACTGTTCCCGATCAAGTTGTAATCAAGCCTCAGACCTTCTCCTAACTAATGGCTTTCCATCCATTAAAATCCTAAATTACTCAATGTTTAGGGCTTAAAATAGCCAGGTTTTTTTTTTAAAAAAAAAAAATCCGATAAACTGCCACGTTTTAAAATCAAACTAAATCTTAAACCTATTTGTTAGGTTTTTATTCTTGGCAATCATGTTTGACAAAACTCCTTTCAATTGTAATTTTATTCGATCTTTTATTTTAGTGAGGCTATGAGTTTTTATATGCGAATCTAACCTGAAGTGTGCCTTTGCAGAGGAGTTTGTGATCTTAATCATATCAGGTTTGCCACTTCGCTGACTATGACGAGATCAAACTACCCGGTCAGCTTGCGGGGGTCTAGGGGGCAGCGCCCCTTGACAGATCCGGGGCAGCACCACAGCGCGGTTGAGGGGCAGCGCCCCGAAGCAAAATGCAAAAATGCATCCGAAGTTGCTTGTCCGCTCGAGCGGCCGTTTGTGCGCTCAAGGGGAGAATGTTTGGCTCCAGAAGTTTGGCATGTTTGCAAAAGTATTGGAAGTTGGGATTTTACGCTCGAGCGAACTTTCCTGCGCTTGAGCAAGGTCCGCGCGAGCAGCCATTCCTATGCTCGAGCGGAGAACGCGATTCAGTTTTCTATAAATATGTGTTTCAGTCAGATTTTAGGATACGGCTTCCAGATCTTCTTTGAAGGTTGTAGGGTTTATATTTGGGGCTATTTTGTTAGTTTTCTTTAATGTTTGATTGAGTATTCAACTCATGATTTAAAAAGTATACATCAAAGGATTGTTTGTTTATTCTATACAAAAGAGAGTGTTCTTCTTGTGTAGATTTTGAGGAATTTGGGCTTGAAGCTTTGGTAGATTCTGGAGTGTCTCATTGTCGTGGATTTGACATCGGCGTTGTGGATTCAATGTTGGGTAAGACAATTCCGAGGTGACGACAAGGCTGGAAGAGACACATAGGTGTCAGTTCGATTCCGGCGTGGATTCACTAGGAAATTGAGAGTACAGTTGTGTAATTCCTTTATGTTTTCTTAGTGGATTGTTTTGTGACTTTTGCCCGTAGTTTTTTTTTTTATCACAATTGGAGACACTCCAATTGTGGTTTTTTCACGTAAAATCGTTGTGTTAATTTGTTTGTGATTGTTTAATTGGGATTGCTTTTTACTGGTTTAAATTAATACATAATCACAAATCAATATCTAGGAGATTTCTAGATTTTTCACTATTCATCTCCAAATCTTAGAAACTATCTTCTCCCTTTTATAATCCTAACCCTAGAAGCTTTCTATGACCAAAACCCACTACAATTTTTAATGAAAGTAGCAATACTCTAGAGTTTCGTATGTTTTCAGAGGTAGAATGGAGGGGATTGATAGTGAGGGGATTAGTAAAATTGTATTTATTTTGATGATAGTTGTTAGGTGGGGATTGTTAAATTATTTTTATATAAAATAATAAAACAAATAAAATTATGATTTTTACTTAACAAAAAAACAAAAACATTAAACATTAATGTTAAAAAAAAATGCCCAACAAGCAAAAAAAAAAAAAAAAAATTTGCCATTGACTGGTTGACCGGCCGGACTTCTGAGCAAACATCCAGTAACACCCTAAGCCGAACGGACTAACTTCTAATACCACCTCCTCGCCCAGACTAATAATCCGCTAGTCCAAGGCCTTTCACAATCCGAACGGACTACCAATCCGGAGCACCATAAACAAAACAAACATGATATATGGTTACTGTTCATCATTGTTTGTCTGCTCCGGACTGCTATAGCGGCAAACAAACGGACCCTAGTTTCCTAAATCTAACCAACATCAGAATGAGACCATATGAAATTAGCCCTGCATTATGCAGAGTATCTTGAAGAGTGTACCTCAGGTGCAAGATAATTTGGTGTCCCACAAGCAGTGTGAAGCAATTCAACTCCCTGCACATTGATTTAAAACAACAATATAAGTAGACAAACTTATAAATTCTTAAAAAAAATAAATAATAAATAAATAAAACCATGGTCTTATATAATGCAAATAAAATCTGATCATGCTTACTTGTGGCAGCAATGCGCTCAGTCCAAAATCAGAAACCTTCAAGTTTCCATGGGAATCGAGAAGAAGATTTTCAGGCTGTATATCGTAAGGAAAACAAAGAACGGTTAACTTGGATGAAAATATAATCTTATAAATGTAAAATTGATAGCTGAGAAAGAGTTACATGTCAACCATCACACTGCACCTTCAAATCTCTATGGTAAACACCCTTACTGTGACAATGAGCAACTGCATCTATAAGTTGTTGAAAGTAGAGCCTAGATTTGTTCTCAAAGAACCTTCCTTGATAAACCTGTACACCCATGGTAAGCATGAGGAGAAAAATTTTCTGGCATCAGTAATGCTATGAAATTGAGGGGCACCATTTTACAATAGCAAATATGGAAAGTAGGTTACTGCTTTACAAATGCAGCACATCTCTGAGCAAAACCAAATTCCATTGTATCCTTATAAAAGCTAAAATACAAGTGAACTACTTCTTCAATTTTCACGTAGATCTACATGATTTGACACATCTCCATTCCCTCACTTTTTTCTTTCCCTTTCCAAATCCTTATCCAAATCCACGATCCAAACATAGCCTAAGACTAACTGCAATTCTTTAGTACATGACTGTATACATATAGAAAGAAGGGCGAACAAAGGATCATCAAGGAATCATCACACTATAATTCCTTGTTTTCTGATAAAATGCACAAGCCCATGCAATAATCATCTTAACATACAAGGTAAGCCATTTTGGGCAACGCATCACTCCAACCAGTAATTGGTAAGGATTTTCTATTCAAGGGTGAAGCTTAATGGTGTTTTTTGTTTTTTGTTTTTTTGGATGTTTTATCCTTGTTGTGAATTAATTCTAAGCAAAGAAGAATGGACACTTCTACGGAGTAAACATGTGTGTCCGACATCAACACTCTTCGGACACTTGTAAAAGTGTGTCCAACACTTCTTCAACGTGTCCGAAACTTGTTCAACATATCTTAATTAAAAAATCAAATTCATAATATCGGACACTTTATTGACACTTCTCAGACAATGGCAATACTTCTTGAACTCTCTAAACATGTTTTATGTGATGAATCCCTTCATAAAATCAATGTTGTGCATTCTCCATAACACAACTTATGCACTCTAAATATGTTTTGAAACATTTATAAGATGAATATATCACGTGTATTAAAACCTCCGCAAACCAATCCAAATTCCCAACGCAACTAATATGACACCATGACCATGAGGAAGCTGGAATACAATGGTATCATTTCTATAGAATTCAAGCAAAACAACAAAGTAAGCCATGTTTGTTTACGGGATTAGGTTGGATGGAATTATTGACTGTGATTGGATTATTGGTGTGGTGGTATTAGGTTGGAGATATAAGATAAATTCTGTTTGTTTGTGTATTAGTATGGTGGTCAAGGTCCTCAATATATAAAAGATGGCTTTGTTATTTTTGTAAAGTGGGTGTAAAATGGTGTTTTTATGTGGGGCCCACCAGATTGCTAATCCAATCCCACCACCTATGTAGTAAAAAACAAGCATGGCCCAAATCTAAGATTCACAATTAACAAAAACAGAAGTTGGAGAAGCCTTACTATTTTATCAAATAGATCTCCACCATTAACAAGCTCTAAAACAATATATATCTTTGTCCGGCTGGCCAAAACCTAGCAAATCAAAAGGAAACGAAAATTAATAACAGTTACCTGGTATTAATACTAATAAAAGCTAGCAAGTCAAGGGCTTAGCATATTAATCATGCGATATAGATTGTTAGTGAAATGTTTAAACATACCTCATGCAGCCCAACTATGTTATTATGTCTGACAATCTTCATTATATATATCTCTCTTTTAATCTGGAACCAACTCAACGAGATTAGAAAAAAAGCAGAAATGCAGAGAAGTAAAGAATAACCGATTTTTAGATTAAATAGTAGATTTTTGTCGTTATTGTAAAGTTGGTTTTGGGGGCTGGTTTATTCTTCCTTACAACAAATTTTGGATTTTTGTAGAGGCACCGGTGACCCTTTAATATAATTATTTTTATTTTATTTAAAAAAAAAAAAAAGAAACAAAAAAATGAGCCAAGGTCCTTCAACCAACAAAATTGAATCCTCAAACATAAACGCTGTTACATTTAATTTGGTGCATTTTTAGTAAATGGGCAAATTACATATACATCTCGAGGTTTGGCTAAATTACAGATATCCTGAGGTTTGAAAAATTACAAATTTCTCCCTGAATGTTATATTTGCATAAGAAATTAGGGGATAACTTGTTATGAAATATAAATCTCAGGGGTAAATTGTTGTGAAAATACAAACCTCAGGGGACGGATGTAATTTCCGAAACCTCAAGTATCTGTAATTTAGCTAAACTATATGTAATTTGCCCAACATCAAATAACCACTGAAAACTAGCAGCAACAAGAACAAAAAGAAGATGAAACAACAGAAATGCAATGCACTGATACAAATTATGAAGAAATAGGCTGCAAAAAAAAAAATACATGAAATAGTTTGTGAGCACTCATTACAAGTTAAGAACACCAACAAAAGAAATTCAAACATTTCAACTACACATTTGTAATTATATCCGGAGTTACATTGTAAATTTGAAGTTAAATTTCAGATTTTGAGGAATTAAGCACCTGATCAACCATTCTGTGCTCCAGGATAGTGCTTTTGACATAACTTTCATTGCAACACTCTCTCTGGTCTCTGTGTTCTGCGCAAACTTAACCTTGGCGAAACTCCCTCCGCCAATCGTTCGGCCAACCTCATACTTCCCCACCTTTTTCGTCACCATTTCCGTACTCTCTCAAAGCACATTTTCCAATAAAACGCCTCAATTCACCTTCAATCATCTAACAATCACTTCAAATAGCACGAAGAACAGCAATCAGTCAAGAACTTGAACAACCAATCGATCACAAACAACTCAAAATTACAAGAAACTTTACGATCGATACATATTGATAGAGAGAGTATACGATGAAGAAGAAAATTGAGGAATATTCCGTAAAATGCAGAGGATGATTCCGCCGGAACGGCGCCGGAGAGTACGCCGGAGCTTCGGCATTTCGGAGATGTACAGCTATGCTTATGCAGATAGATAAATAACATCGAACACTATGGTGTTTTTTAAACCATACTAAAAAAAAATACTAAAAAAAAAAAAAAAGGAAAATTACAAATACGCCCCAGAGCGATGAACTATGTAAATAACATCATTCAATTTAGTAAAACACTATGGCGTTTTTTAAATCATACTAAAAAAGAAAAAAGGGAAATTACAAATACGCCCCAGAGCTTTATTTAAAATACTTGTGATTTAAAAAATTACAAATACCTTCTTGTTAGAATTTTTTATTTAACAAAATTAACTAAAAAAATAAAATTCATAATTACTCTCCTATATAATAATAAAATTACCTAAATTATTAATTGAAACATATTTTTAATATCATTAAAAACTGTTAATTAACTTGATGATTTATTAATAACATGAACGATTTATTATAAAATTAAAAATCTCAAGGGATAGAATGTAATTTTCAAAACTATAAATAACAATTCGTATTTTAATTAAATCTCATCAAGTGCATTTATAATTTACTTAAAAACATACCATAACTAAATATAAGTTATAATTAAAAAATTTATAAATTATAATTTTAAAAAAATAATATAATTAAATGTGTACATAATATACATTTTTAAAGAGACGAATATTAAAATTTCTCAATTTAAAATTATTTTAAAAATCACATTCTACTGGGACCAAAATAAATTTGTACAAGTGACAACCAAAAGTTTTTCACTTGTACCCTATTTTAGAAGGATTTGTATTTATAATTTTTTTTCCTGTGTCAGTAATTCCCAAATATTTAAGTAATTAATTAAAATTTGTAAACTAGTGGAAGCACAAGTGATGTGGCCGTGATTCGATCTTGACCACACTAACGTGACCAGGAATATTTTTCATTTGTTTTTGAATAAATTATACTGATAATTTTTATATCTTGCTTATTGTATCATTTTAGTTTTTGTATTTTAATTGATTTAATTTTTATCTATAATTTTAGATTTTGCATTAATTTGATCTAATTGATAATGACACTAATGTTTTGACGAAAAATAATTACTAAGTTTGTTGAGATTAACTCACTGAATTGAGTAAATTTATAATTTTGATCTCGAGAAGTTGAACTAAGAAGATAAATACTTATTAGTATTTTGCAAGGGTGGAAAGACTAACTTGCATAGATGTTAATCTAACAATTAACACTGACTTTTGCCGATAAAAAATTTATAATTTTACTCTTAAAAATAAACACGTGTAACTTATGTGCGTATTTTACATTAAAAAAATAGTAAAGAGTTCTAATCAAATTGAGATAAAATTATAATGGGAAACACTATGGTACACACTTATGCACTTTATAATTAAAGCATAAAATAACATAATTTCATACTTTCTGAGTCATAACTTTAAAAAAAAATTTATCATAACTAACCACAACATAAGGCATAATTACAGATCTCATAAGCCATAATTAAAATAATGTCATAATTAAATAAAAATTGTTGTTGAATTCTGTTGTCAATGTGTTGATTGATATTGGTGCATCTCATTTCTTCATTTCGTCTATATTCGCATCAGTTTTGGGGTTAGGAGTGGCTCAATTAATGTCTCAGCTCAGGGTACAGTCACTAGTTGGGGGTAAGGTTGTCTTGGACTGAGGATGTCGTGGTTGTAAGATAGAGGTTGCCAATTGCCGACTTCCTTTTTACTTTCGTATTGTTAGACATATCGGGTTTCAATATCATCTTAGGCATAGATTGGTTGTCTTCGTACAGTGCTATTATAGATTGTTACCGTTAGAGGGTTACGTTGTGCACCTCGAGTGGTGACTGCTTTTATTTTCTAGGGGACCAAGCTGATAGAATTTTGTCGCCAGTATATAACTCACATGGTCGGACCGAGCTTAATTGTCTTCTTGCAACTTTCTTGGGTAATGAGAGTGATGTGGCCCTAGTTGAATTACCGAGAGTAGTTTGTGAATACCCTAATGTCTTTTCAGAAGATCTTACTAGTTTGTCACCCCACCGAGAGATTGAGTTCTTCATTGACTTAATGCCCGGCACAAAACTGATTTCCATGGCACTGTCTAGATTTGCACCCGCCGAGTTGTATGAATTGAAGATTCAACTCCAAGAACTGTTGGATAAGGGCTTCATTCGCCCTGGTATATCACCTTGGGGAGCACCGGCTCTCTTTGCTAAGAAGAAGGGTGGCACATTGCAACTGTGCATCGATCGATTATCGGAAGTTGAACCAGGTAACTGTTAAGAACAAGTACCCATTACCACGTATAGGTGATTTGTTTAACCAGTTGAAGGGGTTTTGTTGTTTTTCTAAGATCGACTTGAAATCAGGTTATCACCAACTGAGAGTAAATGATGAGGATATCTAGAAAACGGCATTCCATAGGCAGTATCGCCACTGTAAGTTCTTAGTAATGCCTTTTGGGCTAACAAATGCACCGTCTTCATTTATGGATTTGATGAATCGAATCTTCCTTGAGTTTCTAGACCGTTTTCTGGTTGTCTTTGTTGACGACATCTTAATTTACTTACCCTCCGTGGAGAAACATGGGGAACACTTGTGGATTGTATTTGAGTTGCTTAGAGCATACTGTTTATATGCTAAGTTCAAGAAGTGCGAATTATGGCTAAAGAAAGTTAAGTTCTTAGGCCATATGATATCTGGAGAAGGGGTGACTGTAGACTCTTCTAAGATAAAAGCAGTGCAAGATTGGAAACAAGTTAAGAATATTTTTGAGATCCAGAGTTTCTTGGGCTTAATTGGGTATTACTGACGTTTCGTGAAAGACTTCTCTATATTGGCCTCACCATTGACAAGATTGACAAAGATGGTTAAATTTGCGTAGGGCGAGACTTGTGAAAAGTCATGTCAAGAGCTTAATGTTAGTCTCACCACTACCCCAGTATTGATTATTTTGAAGAGGGGTTTGGGTTATTCGGTTTATTGCGATGCGTCTCGAAAAGGTTTGGATTGTGTATTGATGCAAAAGGGGGAAAGTGGTAGTGTATAGTTCAAGGCAGTTGAAAATACATGAGAGAAATTATCCTACTCACGACCTAGAGAAGTTCAAGGCAGTTGAAAATACATGAGAGAAATTATCCTACTCACGACCTAGAGATAGTGGCGGTGATTTTTGTCTTAAAAATCTGGAGGCATTAGTTATATGGTGAGAGATTTGAAATGTTTTCTGATCACAAGAGTTTGAAATATCTGTTTTCACAAAAGGATTTGAATTTGAGACAGAGGAGGTGGATGAAGTTTATGGAGGATTATGACTTCGAGTTACACTATTATTCAAGGAAGGCCAATGTAGTGATCGACGCCTTAAGTAGGAAATCTTTGAGCAGTACAACCAGTATTGCCATCTGGGAATGGAAGATGTTTGGTGTTATTGGCAAGTTTGACTTGCATCTTAGCGAGCCCGTTGAGCCGGCCGTTTTGTTCATTGTAGATGCACAACCTACACTAATAAGCCGATTTATAAAAGCACAGCACGATGATCACAAAGTAGAGGCTATCCGAGGAAAATTATCTAGTGGAAAGGAAGAGAAGTGTTTGAACATGTATTCTGAGTTGAGTGTGAGCTATTTGGATCGTTTTTTCATTCCAGAATCTTATAGGGAGGAGGTACTTCGAGAGTTCCACCATTCATGCCTTGCGGTACACCAGGGAGGCACAAAGATGTACCACGACTTTAGCCGCGTAAAGGGGAATGAAGAGAGACGTAGTCTTGTTTGTTTTGAGGTGTCTTACTTGTCAATAAGTGAAGGTCGAACATCAACAATCAGCGAGTTTGTTGCAACCCTTATCTATAGCCAAGTGGAAATGGGAGCATGTCACGATGGATTTTGTTGTAGGTCTTCCGAGGACTCAACGGGGTAATGATGCCGTGTGGGTGATAGTCGACTGGTTAACTAATTCAGCACACTTTGTACCTATGCGCATGAGTGACTTGGTAGATTATCTTGCCGACCTTTATGTTAGGGACATAGTTTGACTTCATAGGGTCCTGTGACTATCGTTTCAGATAGAAATCCATGTTTCACGACTCGGGTGTGGCAGAGCCTATAGAATACCTTGAGCACTAGATTGACGTTTAGCACTGCCAATCATTCTTAGACTGACAGGCAGTCCGAGCAAACTATTCAGATCTTAGAGGACATGCTTTGGGGTTGTATTCTTAATTTTAAGGGGTCGTGGGAGAGGCATGTACTTTTGATGGAGTTTGCCTATAATAATAACTTTCAAGCGACTATCGATATGACATCATTTAAGGCCTTGTATGACCAACCATGTAGATCTCTAATGTGTTGGGCCGAGGTGTGTGATGCACCTATGTTAGGTTCTGAATTAGTCCAGAAAATGACGGAGAAGGTCGCGCTTATTCATAAGAGGTTGGTTTCGGCTTAAAGTCGCCAGAAGAGTTATGCCGACCGTAGGAGGAGATCTTTATCATTTGAGGTAGGAGATCACGTATTCTTCAAAATATCACCAAGATAGGGTTTAATGAGATTTGGAAAGAACGGGAAGTTGTCTCCTAGATTTATTAGGCCTTTTAAGATTCTAGGGTGGATTGGGGAGGTAACTAATCGTTTGACCTTGCCGTCCTAACTTTTCGAGGTTTATGACGTGTTTTATATATGTATGCTCCGGAAGTATGAGCTTGATCCTTCACACATGTTGGATTGGCCTGAGTTAAAGGTAGATGAGGGTGCCTCGTACGAGGAGAGATCGATATGGATTTTAGATACTCTGGACCAAGTCTAGCGAGGCAAGATTATTCCATTGGTTAAGGTATTGTGGCAACACCATAGGGTTGATGAGGCAACTTGGAAACGTGAAGTGAAAGTTCATGAGAAGTATCTAGACCTATTTGTTAATGTTTGAGACTTGTATTGAAATTCTGTAATAGTCCGTGTTGATAGACTTTGTGTTATCATTGTTGCCAGTATGAATGGTTACAAATTAATCTAAATCCAGTGACTGTTGGTTTAAGTTTAATTTCGGGGATGAAATTCCTT